GTGTGCTCTTCCGATCTATTTTCAGTGTGGCAAACATGCTCTCAGATTTAAGAGTTTACAGCAACAGGGGTGCATTAAATTTAAAATCGACTCACAGTTTCTTAAAGTAGAGTTTAGAAGCTTTCATTTGAAAAAAAGTTCATCATTTTACGATAATTTTTCGCGGAGTTACCGTTAACCAAAGTTGACCAATTTTTGCTCAAAATTTTTCTATGCCATAATTTTTTTGAGCAGTATATTTTGGATCCTTAGAGGTTTGAGATTCATGAAAATTGGAACATTGGATTTTTTAAAATTTATTCGCATTTATATCATACCTTAAACATCGTGACTCACGATTCGATATTATATCCAATATTATATGAAAAATGGTTAATTGTAACAAAAAAATTAAAGGATCCCAGTATTCGAACCTTCAAGGACATATATGTAGATCCTAAGATTAAAAAAAATGTATTGAACAGTATTAAAAGAATATAAGGGCACAAATTTCACCTGTACATATAATAACAGATTTATTAGGTCGTTGTATATATATAAATCTTTAATTATATAAATCTTTAAATTATATATAAATCTTTATTTTTCCTCGATTTGAAGGAACTGTTGGAAAATTTATATATGTAATATGTATACAGAGTGAGTAATTTAATATGTCGTTTAAAAATAATTGCAAGAATATGCATCGAAAAAATGAATATAGAGTTGCCAAAAATAATAATTTACGAGATATTTTATACTTTATTATGGCATGTTTTGACATAAAAATATAAAATATAAAATGTCTCGTGAACTATTAATGTTTTGATAGCTGTATCTTAATACTTTTATGCACAGAATAAAGAGATGTTATCAATTAGTATTATTATATAGATTATTGTTATCAATTAGTATAAAGAAAAAAGAGTCAATTAATAAAAAAATATATATTTTCATTTCAAAAAAGATATGTAATTGTATATTATTAAGATATATGATTGTGTACAAATTGTATAATTTTTTGGAAAGAAATTATTGTTTTCTCTTTTCATACAACTTTTATTTGAAAAATTTTTTGTTTCATGTATATTTTTTAAATTATTTTTAAATGGCATATTAAATGACTTACGTGTATCTTGTGCATATATATATGTATGTATGTAGGATATATGTATTTTTTTATTTTTACAATATTTAGCATAATAATACTTTTATATTTTAATACTTTTAAAAAGTATTAAAGTAGAGTATTTTTATTTGTCTCTATTTATTATGAAAATAAAAAAGGAGCGCTTAAAGAATTTTTTACCTCTTCCCATGTGCAACAACCTGATAAAAATATATTGACAAGCAAATCCCCATGGCATTTGGCATTATTATGATCCGGTGTATGAGCATATACCCGATTTGTTCCTGTGACACACTGTATGCTGTTTGATGGAGTTTGTCGTTTAAAGAGTCAAGGATCTCTAGGATAGTTGACAAAAGTGCTCTGAGGTACGTAGAAAGAAAAAAAAAGAGAAAAAGAGAGAGAAGGACCATGGCTACAGAAATCATCATTTCCCAAATTGGCTAACAATTCCATCGGAAAATCCGCAAGTCTTTGACCGATACAGATTGAAGGCTTCGCTATGCCGCCTTCGTTAACAATCATCATCACGACGCTTCGTTTTCCACCATCGCAAGAAACAATTACACCCTCGTAAATCGTGATCGTAGCGATATTTATGCAGTTTTTTGCGTTGTGCACATACCTGTCGATAGACACTTTAAATACCCGATCTGTTGTACCCGCTTATTAATATGACAATTTTGTTTTCGTCGTACGAGCAGCTTCGTCGCGGGAGTCATCCTGAGGGAACGCATCCCCGCGTTCGAGCGCATGCTGTGGCGTGCGTGCCGTGGAAACGTCTTTCTACGCCAGGCGGAAATTGAGACTCCATTAGAAGATCCCTCAACGGTGAGTATCGTTTCACTCTTAATCAAAGAATTTAAAGATGAGATTGTGTCCAGATGGATCTTACGAATTATGGATTACATTAATAATTATTAATAGAAAGATAAAATGATCCATTTCAATGTTTTTATGTTTTAATCAAATAGTTCAGTACTAATTCGGAAATGATGGATTTAGGGGGACCAGGTGTACAAGTCGGTCTTCATTATTTTCTTCCAAGGTGATCAGCTAAAGACTCGCGTGAAGAAGATCTGTGAGGGTTTCAGGGCGACCTTGTATCCCTGTCCGGAAGCGCCAGCTGATCGCAGGGAAATGGCTATGGGCGTTATGACTCGTATCGAGGATTTGAATACTGTGAGGATATTATATTTTCTTATGTCAGCTTAATTAATTAATTTTTTAATGAATCAAACATATATTATTCCTAAAATTGGTTTATTTACCTCATACTCCTTTACTTTCAAATCTGTTTTCTTGATAGTCAAATTTTTGGAACCGAAGCATACGTGAGAATTTGGGTCGAATTCAGGATCACTGAATCGGATCTCATCTCTTTTATATGTCACCAGTATATCAATTCTATTATTTGTATTATTAAATAGTATTCACACTAAAAAAAGTTTCTTTTAAGTTTGATTAAAAGTTTGTTCAATAAACATTGATGCGTTCTTGGTTTCCAGGTCTTAGGGCAGACGCAGGATCATCGTCATCGAGTTCTTGTGGCTGCTGCAAAGAACATCAAGAACTGGTTCATCAAGGTCCGCAAGATCAAAGCGATCTATCACACTCTAAATCTTTTCAATTTAGATGTCACTCAAAAATGTCTGATTGCCGAATGCTGGGTGCCTGTCCTAGACATTGAGACTATCCAACTGGCATTAAGACGCGGAACGGTAATGAACACTATCTCATAATACTCCTTTTCACTATTTCAATTATCCTTGTATCGCAAAATGAAAAATTGATTATTCTTTTTACCATCTCTAGGAACGCAGCGGAAGTTCCGTTCCTCCCATTCTGAACCGCATGGAGACGTTTGAGGATCCGCCAACATACAATCGAACGAACAAGTTTACGAAAGGATTCCAGGTGTTGATCGACGCTTACGGGGTCGCATCTTACCGCGAGATGAATCCCGCGCCGTACACCATCATTACATTCCCGTTTCTATTCGCGATAATGTTCGGTGACACTGGCCACGGTCTCATTATGTTCCTGTTCGGTGGTTGGATGGTTCTGAAAGAGAAGCCATTGGCGGCTAAAAAGAGTGACAACGAAATCTGGAATATTTTCTTCGGTGGCCGTTATATCATCTTTCTCATGGGCATGTTCTCCATGTATACCGGTCTAATTTATAATGACATATTCTCCAAGTCGCTCAACATCTTCGGCTCCAACTGGGTGATAAACTACAATCGTAGCACAATCCGGCACAACAGAGAGCTACAATTGAATCCCAATTCAACGGATTACGTCGATTATCCATATCCGTTCGGTATGGACCCGGTGTGGCAGCTGGCAGATAATAAGATTATCTTCCAAAACTCGTACAAAATGAAGATCTCCATCATCTTCGGCGTGCTGCACATGTTATTCGGCGTGGTGGTAGGATTGTGGAATCACATGTACTTTAAGAAGCGCATTAACATTACTTGCGAGTTCGTGCCGCAGATAATCTTCCTCTTTGCGCTCTTTTTCTACATGGTGATCCTCATGTTTGTTAAATGGATCAAATATGGCCCGAAAAACGATGTGATCGATGGCCCTGGCTGCGCGCCCTCGGTTCTCATTACTTTCATCAACATGGTCCTTTTCAAGCCTGCCGCCCAAGTCGGCACTTGCGATCCCTATATGTATGGTGGTCAGAGCGGCTTGCAAAAGTTTCTGGTGGTCGTGGCTCTGCTCTGCGTACCATGGATGCTGCTGGCTAAGCCGATCTTGATGATGCGCAACCGTAGAAAGCAGCACTACCAGCTCAACAATCATGGTGCTGAGAACGGTGATGTAGAGGCCAGCATGGGGGCTCTCCAGCAGAGCGGAGGTGTTACTCAGAGTGGCGGTGGTCACAAGGAGGAGGAAGAAGACATGACGGAGGTGTTTATCCATCAGGGTATTCATACTATCGAGTATGTTCTTGGCAGCGTGTCGCATACCGCGTCCTACTTGCGTCTCTGGGCCTTGTCTTTGGCCCACGCCCAGTTGTCCGAGGTACTGTGGACAATGGTGATGAGAAACGGTTTGGCGAGGGAGGGTTGGGATGGTGGTATCGTCCTCTACGCCGTCTTCGCTTTTTGGGCAGTGCTCACCGTAGGCATCCTCGTACTTATGGAGGGTCTTTCGGCGTTTTTGCATACGCTTCGTTTACATTGGTAAGATTCTAATTGTGAGAGAGCTTTCATATTTTTTCTTTCTTCATCTTATGTACTGTTATGTGGATATATTAAATGATTTATCTTATTTATAATTTTAAGAAGTGATACATTTATACTATTTTGTACTATTGCCCTAAACTTCATATTGGTAATGTTCAGTGCTAAAAATCTATATTATTTTTAATTCTTACTTTTTGTGTTCCAGGGTGGAATTTCAGAGCAAATTCTATTCCGGTTTGGGCTACAGTTTCCAGCCATTCTCCTTCGAGATCATCCTCGACGCTGCACAGGCCACTACCGAGGATTAAAATAATTGATCGTCGATAATTAATAACTGCCCTTGATTATTATTAGTACGAGCGGCGAGGGCGTCATGAATTCAATAGCTGCTCATTTGAACAAGTCATGAATAGTTAATGAGCGAGGTGACCTTTAATAAAAATATGTATGTAGAGTATCGATTATAATAATCGATCAAAAGTATGGAAATTATTTCCTCCTTATCTTGTGTCGTCTTTTAACTGTAAACAGAACTTTGATCAAACCACAAGATTCGTAACGCACACAAGGTCATGACAAAATATTTTCGTGATATTATTGAATTTTTTCCCTGATCGATTAGATTACAATCGAATTTAAGATCTAAAACCCTTTCTCTCTAAATGAAATATCGACTTATACCTTTCTTGTTCGTGAACGTATAATACTAGAAGTCTTTTGCAATGTTAAGAACCTTTATGCGAGCAGTGCAGAATTCTCCATGCACACTGTAGAGTCTGTAGATCTGAAAACAAATGTATGTCGTGTCGGCGACCAATTGATGTTATTCCATGTATCTGTACGTAATAAAAAAAATTGTGGCATATTGAAAAGTGTTTAATGAAAACTCGTTGATTGCACTATGTTTTTACATAAGTATACTCGACAAGATAACTTGTATACAACTCATTGAGATCAATTTCATAAGATCCGAAATACTTCAATATAAGATTTCCAATCTTTCACCTTCATGTTTCTTCTAGCGCGAAATCCGATTGTTTGGTTTATCTAATGCCGTAGTATCAACTGCATTAAGTTAAAACTAAAATCATCATTACAACTAAATTATGACTAAAGATACTAAACAGACGAATTAAATTTATTTTAAACGTTCATGAAAAGTTATTGTTTCGGCAAGATTTTTAAGAAAATGGAAAACAAAGCAAAATTAATGTGTAAAATATCTTGAAACTAAATTATGACTATCAAGAAACAAATGTGATAATTAAATTTTATGTGAATGTTTGGGAAAAGTCTATTGTTTGAAGATTTATTAAAAATTACAAAGGAATTTCTAAAATTTTTCGTGCAAAAATACAGCAACTAATTAAAAAATAATTGTTATTTTAGCATATTAAAACAAAATTTTGATTAATTAAAAATGTATGATTTTTTAGTAAAAATTTATAATTCAAATTTTATAATTATATATTATTTTATAAATTATAAGTATCATAAATATGAGTATCAAATAAATTATAAATTTGTAAATATAATATAAATTATAAATTTTTACCTTATTGAATTTTTATTTCAAAATTTAACAAAACTATATAATAAAATAAATGCTGATAAAAGAAGAACGGAAGTTCTTTCAATTTTTATAATATTCGAGTTATGGTAATAATTAATTCTGTTTTTATAATACCAAATTGTAACAAAACTTGTATTGATCTCAATCTTATCATTCAAAACGATTCGGGTTTCAAATTATTACTACAATTTGCCTTTTCCTTAAAGGAAGCTCGGATTCTCCTCGCGGTTTTGCCTTCCGGCCCGATGATACGTTGTTATCAACCCGGACTTCGATGCGCGTGTAGCATGACGCACGCGTCGCTCGGTCTCGGCCAGTCCCCCCTCGCCGTCTTCGGACTCCGACGGCCACTCCACACTAACTCCAATCGCGGCAGTTGTGGCTCCACTGGCTCCAGTGACCAGTCGCTCATCAGCGTGCGGACAAAGTGGTTCTTACGTCTCTACGATCAGTCTTCATCTTGTTTTTTCATCCACGTTCAGCATAATCTTAAAAAAAGTACCATGGCATCTGTGTGCATTATTGGCTCCGGTAACTGGTGAGTAGGAAGGTGGTAGAACTGACGGGAATTGGTGACGTTCAGCTGAGCGCTCCAGCCGTCACGTCGAGGCGAACGTAGACGAGCGCGGTGATCGATTCGCACGTGCCCTTCGCACACATGCAGACTTGTTTACTCACGCGCGTGCTCCGATCGCCGATCACGCCGCCCGTGTCGCGCCGAGATGTCTTCAAGCTGACGAGAAGAATGTCTCGTGTACAAACGGAAATCGCGTTAATTGTGCGCCGCATAATTAATGTCCATTCCAATCGTCAATTATGTGCCGAGCGGGAAAGCCATCGTTATTCATTGAGGGAGTCGTTTCTCGCTCGCACGAGTAGTCTGCATGGAAATTAATTAAAATTATGGTAATATATCAGAAAAAAGCGAAACGTAACGTTGGAAAAATTAACATTAGCATTATTTAAGAGCAAAATAACTGTTTTGTAATTTTGTATAAAAATTACTCAAATTTATAATAGTGCCTTTTCCGTTACTATAATCATTTTCCGCCATTTCCGTTACTAATTAATCAATTTACTTTCGTTCTTTATTCCTGTTTTTCAAGTGTATATTTATTTATTTAACTACACTTGTATTATTATTCATATATATTATTACTATTTGAATATACTATTATATAATATATAATTTAAATATTATTATTGTATTATTAAAATATATTATATATGATACTAAACAAAATATGTAATATATTTAAATATTACATATATATACATATTAATTTATACTATATTCCATATAGCACGTAATATTATAACAATATTATTTTTCCATTGCAATATATTATAATGAAAATATGGCTGAAACATTACAGAGATGTCATAGTAATATATTAAAATGTCCACAAAAACAAATCACAGTAATTATGATAAATCATAATTCAAATTATTATAATATTATATAATATTTAGCAATTTAACTGATGCTTTGTGATGAACACTGAATGTTATAATAGGTATACACATAATTTTATTGATATTTTAATGAAGTTTCTAATGTCAATCAGACATCATTAAAACGTCATTTAACGTTATTTACCTGCTTAGGATGTTATTACAACAATATATTGCAACAATATTATTGTAATATTTCAATGTTATTTATCAACGTGTAATATATCAATGATATTTCTGTATTGATTGATAGTGATATATATTTCTAATATTTTACTGTAACATTTTGAATATATTGCAATATTACTATAATATTTACGTAATATTACGTGTTATGTGAGATATTTAAATAATAGATATTGTTGGTTCTAATATTAATTGAATAAAATAGAGAGTACTTATACAAGTCTACAAATCAAAATGCGATTGAGATGCAAAGAGCATTGATTTCGCTCTTCTCGCGTATAACTATTTGATTATGATACTAATAATCGCAATTATGAATTCGCAGGGGCTCAGCAATCGCCAAGATAGTCGGCGTGAATGCGAAAAAACAGAACAGCTTCGCCGACCGTGTCACCATGTACGTTTACGAAGAGATTATCGACGGTAAGAAGCTGACGGAGATTATTAATCAGACTCATGAGAACGTCAAATATCTTCCGGGACATAAGATCCCCGAGAATGTGGTAAGACGACGCTTTTAGACAGACAGTTAACACGTTGCCTGCTCGTTGCATTTTGTATGTTTCATCGTGTGTGCTACAGTGAAAATTTTCACTATTGTAGGACCTTAGCAGAATGACTGAGTTAGAATTTCATGACAATATTTTATGCTCCTTATCTTTATAGTAACTTTATAGTAACAACAACTATTTTATTTCTAGAGTCTAAAGATTCGTTTGCGATTAATTATGAACTATTGTAAATAACAAAATTACTAATTTTATTTTTATACATATAATAAAAATACGTAGCATTATGCAATAAGTGAGATTAATGTTAATTTTCTTGAAGTCAGTCATTGTGTTAAGGCTCATAAGCATACAATGATAAAATATTGTAATATGAATAAATCTCACGTGTATGCATTGTGAATATGCACACTTTACTTTACATCGTTACTTAGCTATTTGTGTTTATAATATATGTTATTTAAAATTTTTTATTAGTACATTAATTTTTTTACAATTTTTTTAAACAAATGTTGATAGCACCAGGTATCATTGCATCGACTAGGGTAATGCTTTCATGACTCTAAATCTTATATTTTATTATTTTTTTATTTTTCACATTTTTAAATTATTTTATTATATATATATATTTTATTTATCTTGCGATCAGTTTTTTACTGCTAGACCATGGGAGAGGGATCTCTAGAATTTTTTTTATATTTATCAACCAACACGTTACAAAAATTAGTCGTATGATAAATGAAGTAATAATTAATAAGCAAAATGTGAGCAATATATACATATATATACTCACGGTTGTTGGCAAATTCGAGCAGAATATCCAATATAATCTGACAGTAGAAACTAAACAGAATCCGTCATTCCGTAATTTAAGTGGAATGTATACCTATAGTTTAAACAGCAGTTACGAAATAGCAGATTCTACACGGTTTTTGCAATTTATCATCGTATTCCATTAACAGATTTTGTTATATTTCCGCTGGCATTGTTGACAAAATTTGTAGTAGATACTTGGCAAAATCTCTTTTCGACAGGTTTGTAATTATTATTTAAGTATTATTATTATTAATTGTTATTTAAGTACTATCTATTTAACTCTCTCCCTCTCCTAAGTTTTTTCTTCTGTAATGTTCTTACTCTCGTATTCCTTTAACTGTACATATTTCTTAAACTGTGCGTCTTCAAGACGTTGAATTACTTCAGTACCTCGATTTTCTCTCAAGATTTTCAGAATTCTAGATTTCACTGTTTTTTTTAAATTTAAAGAATATTTTTTAAAGAAGGATTATTCTGTTGTATAGAAATTCTAAGTTTAAAGTCATGGTAATTCTTGAAGTTTTTCGAGAATGTCTCATCTTTTCATCTTAGATTTCTAATGTATGTATGAGAAAAGAAACAGATAAGCCGGTCAAAGTTCGGTAATCGTTATCACACTACACCGACAGATGTACGTTGCGTTCGCTACTCCTGAACTTTAATCGCCGTACTCTGACCGCAATCAAGGTAGCCATATCGATTTATTGCACGTCTCTGTATCGCATTTTTCGTTGTCAATCGTGAATTTACATCTCCTTTCTGTCGTTTCATCAAGAATACATTTTGTACTTTGCTTTTTTAATATTTAAATTAATTAATGTTTTAATTTTTACTTTGTCACTTGTCATTGTCCTCTTTTGAAATCATTACTTTTATAGTATCTTTTCATAGAAGTATTTAGGATTATTAAATTATAATGTGATTTTATGCAGCTGTCCTTGGCTATTTCTCATGAGAATATCTTTCGCTCCCCCTCCTCATAAGAATCGCTACACATGTTAAATCCGGCTAAGAATAACATATCTTCATGAAACATTCATCCTCTGAAAACTCTTATAGCCGTGTTCGATTAAACGAGAACCCTGCGATGAGGGGATGATAATTTGAATTTCTGTTTGACTGAAGAACATGTAAAAGGTATTCCGCTAACCTTTTCGATTCATACATTATTTTGATTAATTTGGAGCTGCTGAATTCTGCTGAATTCTGCTGAAATTGATTTAAATTTGGAAATATATCTAAGAATTTTGAACAACAACAAAATAAATGATTTTATTTTATTCAATTTGATATTATTACATTTAATTTTTATTTAATTTTATTAGGCTTAAAGGCTATTTTGTTCTAGATTGAATTTAAATAAACATTAGAAAAATGCTATTTCAAAAATAGTAACAAAATAAATGACGTCAATTTTTATGCTAAAATCAGAGTTTTACGTTTACGTTGTTATCACTGTGTAATAATTTTTTTTCTAATGGTTTAAGTTTTCTTTTGTAGAGCAAAGTACCCTGAAGAAAATTAGATCAGAAAAATAGCATACTTATATCTCGGGATATTCGAAGTTTTCAAGCCTATATCTTCACAATAGCAGAAGTCTTACTTTTTTAATAAGATTTATATTACAAATTAATTTCTACATTTCTCAAATATACACAGTTGGAAAATTTGTGTTCAATTTAATGCATTTTATATGTCCCAAACGGCCCACCTAAATTTTTGTATTAATTTAATATTTAATATAAGATGAATGTGTTAGAAACAGGGTTGAATAAATTAATTTTTTTAACTAAGTTAAAGTTAACAGCCTTGAAAATTTAACTTAAAATACAAGTTAATTTATAATAAAATTAATTGAATTAAAAAAGAATTAAGTTAATAAAAAAAGTAATTGAAAAGTTAAAAGTTAAATATTTTTCATTTCATAATTTCAGGGTTTCTAAATAAAGTGTAGATATATTTGTTATATGTATATTTATTTCCATCGGATTTCCGCGGAAAGAAGTCCGATTTTGATGGACTTCTTCTAACACGATTCAGTGCATAGAAGATCTGCATATAATTCGCAAACGCGATTCCTTTCCGCAGATATTTATTATATTAATAACTTGCCTTGATGTGCGTTCTCAAATTCGAGTTTGAAGACACCGACGCAGATATGTATTTTTTTATGAGTTTATATGGAAGTATTAAAAATGTAACTTAAAAAGTTAAATTAAAAGTTAATAGTTACCAATAAAATATAACTAAATTAAGTTAAAATTATTTAAATAATTTAAAGGATTTTAAAATTATGTAACTTTTTAACTGGGCACTATTCAATCCTGGTTTAGAAAGTAACACAAACGTTATGTAAAAATTAACACAGAAAATATAACATTGACATAAATAGTGAAAACATATTTTTTCAGTAAAATTAATACCTACATTCATTTTTTATTTATTTATCTTCAATTTACGGTTAGAACTATATTATTTTTACGTTATTTATTTGTTCATAATTTGTGTAATTTCAACAATAAGGAATGTTAAATACAATTCATCACAAAATATTTATATAATATATAATCACGTTATGTTAAATTAACACTCGGGTGTGTAAAAATTTAATAAAAATTTGAGTGGCCCATTAATTCTTCGCCAATGTAGGTCTTTTAAGGAACAGTCGATTTTTTGAATTTTGAAAGAATGAATAGGTGACGAGATCTTGGTGTCCCGCCCTAAAAAAACTTTCTATATTATGATAAAAACTTGTTAAAAGTTTCACAAGTATTCATGAATTATTTCAAATTTTTATATAGTGTGGAATAATAAAAAATCTGCTATGCTTCAAAGATCCTTTTTGGAAACCTAGATTGGAAGTTTCACATTGTTGACGGAGGATTAACACAATTATAAAATGTTTTCTATACACTGATCGTCTTCAATTTGATCATATCTTCTGTCTTCGCTTGAAGAAAAAATATTTTGAACAAAAAAATGACGATAATGGGCTAAGAATAAATGGCTGATGACTTCACTTGATCAAAACAAAGTTACATCAATGATCTTTTTTATCTCGAAACAATATCGCACATCATTTATATCATTATATCACTTTTTACTTTAGTTGTAATACACTTGATTATATTATCAATATAATTTTCTTTTAAAATTCTTTGGATATATAATTAGCGAAAACAGGCTACAAAGATAATCTGCTTCTTTAAACCGGTTTGTCATTGCAACTATACGTCATTAACTTTCACGTCTTATACTTCTAAGGAACCCGAGGGCGAGACCCATAAGTCCGAAGTTCAAAAGCAAAAGAAAAATAACATTCTGAAGTTGAGAATTGCAGAACAAAGATCTGAAAACTTAAGATATGTACATCTAAAGTCTTAAGAACATAAAGTTTTTGTCACTTTTATGATATAAAGGCTTAAAACGTCCAACATTTAAAGATATAAAATTCGCCTCCAAGATTCTTTCATCAAGTATAATCATTGCATATTCAGTAGTTTTTAGTGGACATTCAAAAGCTATTTTATTTTGTGAAATTGCAGATGTAAAGTACTCTTCTACGTTTACCAGAATTGTTTAACATCTGCTTCATTTTTAATATTAGGCATTTTTGCCGTTCACATGAGAAATATGATAATTATTATTCTTTTTCTTTTACAGATTATCGATTTATATTATCTATTTATTTAGATTATTTATTTATATTATCTATTCTATAGATAATCTATTTTTCTTCTAATAGATTATTTTCGTTAATTACTCAAAGGCTACAAATGTCACAATTCTCGAATTTATTCCATTGAATTTATTCTAAAATCACTTCAAGAATTTGAAACTTAAAAATTTTACTTTTTAAAAGTATAAGAAGATGCGAGCGAAATGAATGGGTATGAATATGATGTTTATTGTATGATATTATTGTATAATATTTTTCTTTGCATTTTTTTTATATTGTATCAATTAAATGGCAGAGAAGTATTCAAGGACATTATTTTCCATATGTAATTTATATTTTAATCATCAAAGACAAATCGATAATATTGAGAATATCTCGCCGCCGATGCATTGCGACATTCTCTTATATCGTATATATTATCTCAGCATAGGTATAGTTTTCTGATTCTGTCTTCTCAATCTTTAACCACTGTGTTGCACTTTTTTATATTCTTCTAAACGTCTAAATCCATATGTATATACGTACTGAAATTTTAGAAAAAAATATATACATGTATGTGTATATGTATGATATGTGTAAATGTATGTATATTAGGTATATAATGTATGTATTTTTAATGCATTTTATGTATACAGGTATAACTTTATCTATCTGGAATATCACTATATTTTTAGAGATATAATTTTTAGAGCTATTTTTAGAGATATAAAAATATTTTAATTACTGAAGTTGTACGGTATCAAGGAGCCATATACTTATAATATGTTAATAATCTTTTTTCTTTGGGTGAAGGCGTTTCGGAGATTTAAAGGTTATCTCTTATATTTTTAATAAAAAATTATTATGATTTTTCTAACATATGACTTTTCTGATAATTCTGCATATTAAGGTAAAATTATCGAAAAATTAACATTTTACGAGATATTTTATATTTCACCACAGAAAAATGATTACCAAATTATTACCAAATTATTACCTTATTGATATAATTTTATTGATCTATCTTTTTTGTTCTTTCTAGAGATATTCAATAGTCAATAACTCTTTTAGGAATTTGGTTATGTTTCTCTACATTTTTTAAAAAATTAACTGTTTTTTTATATTCTCAGTGAAGTTCTAGAACACTGGAGCGGATTTTACGAAAGATATCTTACTCAAAACGATTCTTTAAATTCGGTTTTACTTATTTTTATTTTTGTTCTTGCAGTAAGATTTAATCACTTAAACGTTATATTCGTTCTAGATTGCGATCCCAGACGTGGTCGAAGCTGCGAAAGACGCGGACATTCTTATATTTGTGGTCCCGCATCAGTTCATCCAAAGGATATGCAGCACCCTGCAGGGAAAAATCAAACCCACCGCTGTCGGTCTATCATTGATCAAGGTACATCTTGTGTCTTTCGTGTATAAAGTTTTGAGAATATCGCGTGTAATTTCTTTATCTGTTAGTCTACAATTGTACACATTCGAAATATTTGCAGGGCTTCGACAAGAAGGAAGGTGGTGGCATCGAACTTATATCTCACATTATTTCGAGACAATTGCAAATCCCAATCTCGGTACTGATGGGTGCTAACTTGGCTTCCGAAGTTGCCGATGAAATGTTTTGCGAGACCACCATCGGTGAGGGCGATTAAAATTCCGATCTTATATTTAACTATTTCAGATATATCAGTTTATATATACATATAATCACGATAATTTAAACGAACAATATCTCGAAAGATATTACGTTAGATAATGTTGCTTTTGTAGCGTTAAGAAACATGCATGTTGCGATAGTACAGTTTTTTCTTACAAAAATGGATTATGTAACAAATGACGTAATTACAAAAAACATTTCGTTGATCCTGGCTATCCTCTATTTTATCGGTCCGATTCTTGTATCGATTTTATTCTACTTCGCGCCTCATTAATGATTCATAGCATTTGAATGCGAAATTTAATACAATTCTCAATTAAAGGGAATTCATTTAGCATATGATCTTAAATCGATATCTCCAGAAAGTGGAAATTATAAACCACGTTATAAAGCTATAAAAAGCTTTATATAAATCGCGTAATACCTGTTTCTTAAATACGTAGCAGTTTACTAATAAAATAAGCTCTGCAATTTGGATTGGAATTTGCAGGCTGCAAGGACAAAGTGATGGCGCCGATACTTCGGAATCTGATCCAGACGTCGTATTTCAGAGTGGTAGTTGTCGAAGACGTGGATTCTGTGGAATGTTGCGGTGCATTGAAGGTGATAATGGCTTCTTCTGAGATTCTAGCAATTTTATTCATATTGAACTAAATTTTAAGATATTTCATTCTTTTTCGATTTTAATTAAGATTTCGATAAATCTCACAATATGTTCATGTTAATGTTTTTATAGAATATAGTTGCCTGTGGAGCTGGTTTTGTCGACGGGCTGGGTCTGGGTGATAATACGAAGGCTGCAGTAATCAGGCTGGGTCTCAAGGAGATGATCAAGTTTGTCGACGTGTTTTTCCCAGGCGGAAAATTGGCGACCTTTTTCGAGAGTTGTGGAGTGGCTGATTTAATCACAACGTGCTATGGTGGACGTAATAGAAAGGTCTCAGAGGCTTTCGTGAAAACTGGCAAGGTCAGTAATATAGGTCCAACCGAACATAGCTCTTCTTGATCAATTTTGCATTTTGGCTAATTTTTAGATTATTAAAGAATTTTTAGCATTCATTAGAGAAGTTTTTAAAATACAATATTTTTTTAAAGATATAGATATGAACACTTAAATATTTAGCATAACGTGTTTATATCTATAACTATTATAAATTAAATGTTGTTATACAGGATGTTCCCGGATTAAATGGTCAAATTTGAAATATGAATTTAGGACTTCAAAACAACAAATTTTCCTCTAGAAAGTCAGTATATTCGTAAACGCTTCGTTTAAAAGATTTGACATTTACGTGTTATAGAATTATAGGAATGAATTATTGTTGAAGTATTTCTTGTTTTTCTTTTGAAGATCGAAGGTGATTTATAGACTTTTCTTTCGTTTGCTGTAAATAAGCTCCTCCTATTTGTATCAAATACTATTAATTTTTTTAATAATTGAATGCTTTTGTAGAACTAGTGTATGCTAGTTTAATCATGAATTGAATGCTTTAGTGGAATGAAATAATATAAGCTAGTATAATCATGAACTAATATAATCATATTTCATGCATATTCTATTAGTGTATGTGCTGATGTAATATGATTTATTTGAGTTTTATGACGGAAATGCTGACGATGTTTGCTGTGAATATGCCACGCGATTTCCGAACAGAAGATTGCCGAATAAGCCATTCTTTGTAACATTTCGAGCTGGAGACATTTAATAATTACATCTTGATTATTGATAAAATAATAAACTTAGATTACTTTAATATTATTCATTCTTACAGTTCTGTAACTTAAGTCAATATTTCTTGAACGAAATGTTTGTGAGCGTTCCAGAGGAACTTTTTTTATTTTCAGGTTCTATATTCATATTTCAAGTTTGGCCATTTAACTCGGAAACATCCCATATAATTTTGTGGTTATACAATTACGTTGTTGTATAATAATGTTGTTATATAATTATGTTTATAATAACACGATAAATGTGATTTGCAGTCGATCGAAACACTGGAGAAAGAGATGTTGAATGGACAGAAATTGCAGGGCCCATTTACCGCCGAAGAAGTCAATTATATGTTGAAATTAAAGAACATGGAAAATAGGTTCCCATTGTTCACGGCAATTCACCGGATTTGCGTTGGTGAGCTAAAACCAACGGATTTAGTCGACTGCATACGCAGCCATCCAGAACACATGTAAGCTCATAATTGTTATCATAGCATTTTAAAGTTGGTTCACTAACGTAAAAATAGGGATAATTATCCCGCCCAGATCTATGGATCCTTTATCAGAGAATTTAATTAATTTGATTTCGATTGATGAAGTCTCCAACGAATCAAAAACTTCAAGAGCATAAATTATTTTTAATTATCTAACTCTTTCTCTGCGATTCCAAACAGTATCATTTTAAGTTCTTTAAAACTCACTGATAAGATAAATTAATAGAGACTCGACAATGCGATACGAAGACCGTGCTAATCTTGGATCAAGTTTGATTGTATTCTGATTACAAAATTTTACATTGCTCGAAGTTTTAATGGTTCCAAGATTTCATAGATCTATAATTTTGAGGATTCCACATACACAGGACTCTTTATCTTATATATAATTAGAATTCCAAATTTTTAGATACACAAACACAAAATTTTATGAATTGAAAATTATTTTTATAAATTAAAATTTTAAATTTCATAATCTTGAGGACTCAATAATTTTATAATTTAAAATTTTAATTTAATGAAATTCCCATTCTTTATGTAAATTGCTGAAATTTTGATTTTATGATTCTACGATCTATGCATCGGTTTCTCACAGATTCAAAGAGCTTCAAAAATTATAGATTTAAGAAGCTCGAATAATTTAGTCAATAAAATGCCGCATCGTGTTGAACGCGATGGCCAAATAAATTGTTACATTTTACAATGTGAATATATATATTTTACATATATATTTTATCGACAGAGATTTTATTCAATGTTTTGACCGAGTAGATAAATTAGATCTATAGATCCTCCAATCGTTGATTGTTGTATGCGTTGCCAACGAATGAATTTCGTTATGTAAACCGAGAGAGAGAAAGGAAATATAACTAATTGTTTGTTGATAAAAAAAATAAAACTTAGCTCTTTTGTCCCTTGTTTTCCTAGATTCTTAAAGACATCTCCTTTTATTCATGCATGATCAAATTTGAAATCCTATTTAATATTTTCCTGTAATGAAATTACATGTAAGGTATTATTAAAACATTTGGATTAGCTTTAGGAATAACTTTTTTTAATCGAGACAATTTAAAGAAAATAAAATATATATAGACATACTTATATATATGTTTATATATATATATATATA